GGGGCCGCACCAGAAGCCTGGTGCCGGCAGCCCCCCCCCCCGTGCCGGCACCCATCCGGTGCCGGCACCCCCTCCCCGGTGCCGGCCCCCCACCCCGGTGCCGGCCCCCCCCCACAGTGCCGGCCGCCCCAGTGCGGGCACCCCTCTCTGTGGGCACCGCCCCCCCAGGGCCGGCACCCCCTCCCCTGGTGCTGGCACCTCCCCGGTGTCGCCCCCCCCCCCGGTGCCAAAACCCGCTCCCCGGTGCCGGCACCCCCCCTGTGCCGGCCCCCCTCCATTGCCGGCACCCCCCTCCAGGTGCCATGCAACTCCCCCGGTGCCGGCACCTCCCCCGGAGCCGACACCCCCTCCGGTGCCGGAACCCCCCCCGGTGCCGCACCGGGGGCTCGGTCCCTGAATCGTTCTGAACGCGCCGTCTTCGTGACCTCGTCATGATGGAGACCATGCACATGGCCAAGATGCAAATGATCATCATCATCATCATCATCATCATCATCATCATCATCATCATCATCATCATCATCATCATCATCATCATCATCAGCATCAGCAACAGCATCAGCATCAGCATCAGCATCAGCATCAGCATCATCATGATGATCATCATCATCATCATCAGCATCGTCATCGTCGTCGTCGTCGTCATCAGCATCATCAGCATCATCATCCTCATCACCACCATCATCATCAGCACCATCATCATCATCATCATCATCATCATCATCATCATCATCATCACCACCATCATCATCATAATCATCATAATCATAATCATCAGCATCAGCATCAGCATCATCATCATGTTCATCATCGCCACCATAATGATCGTCATCATCATCAGCATCGTCATAATCAGCAGCAGCAGCATAATCATCATCATGTTCATCATCGCCACCATCATGATCATCGTCATCAGCATCGCCATCAGCATCAGCATCATCATCATCCTCATCGTCATTAGCACCATCATCATGTTCATCATCGCCACCATCATGATCATCATCATCAGCATCGCCATCATCATCACCATCATCATCATCAGTAGCTGCATGTTCATCATCGCCACCACCATGATCATCATCATCATCAGCATCGTCATCATCATCAACATCCTCATCAACAGCATTATCATCATCATCACCATCACAATCATCACCAGCATCATCAGCATCATCATCATCATCAGCTTCAGCATCAGCATCAGCATCATCATCATGTTCATCATCGCCACCATCATGATCATCATCAGCATCGCAATCGTCATCATCAGCAGCAGCAGCATAATCATCATCATGTTCATCATTGCCACCATCATGATCATCATCATCAGCATCGTCATTATCATCATCCTCATCATCGTCAGCAGCATCATCATCCTCATCACCATCACCATCATCATCATCAGCATCATCAGCATCAGCATCAGCATCATCATCATGTTCATCATCGCCACCATAATGATCGTCATCATCATCATCAGCATCGTCATCATCATCAGCAGCAGCATAATCATCATCGTGTTCATCATCGCCACCATCAGGATCATCATCAGCAGCATCGCCATCATCATCAGCATCATCATCATGTTCATCATCGCCATCATCATGATCATCATCATCAGCATCGTCATCATCATCATCATAATCATCATCAGCATCATCATCATCCCGAGCGTCTCGGATCGGCTGCACTGGCCGGAGGCCATGGCAATGAGGTGGCCTCTCTCTCTGGTCTGCTCAGGGCCAGGGTCGGCGGGCGGGTTGCCGGGCATCGGGGCTGGCGCCCCTAGCCCTGGGACTCTTAGAATAGTACCGCAGACGGCGAAGCGGGCGCGAGCGAAGACCCATGGGACCGAAGCACATGAAGACGCCCATTCAGAGGCGGCACCTGCTAGCGCGCGGCATGACGGGCGTTTTCATGCTGCGGAGTGGCGAGGCACGAGCACCTGCAAGCTAGAAACGTCAAGAACCACTTGACGATGGTGAGAAATAGAAGAACCAGGCTGATAGCGCACCCAGTGCCATGGCGGCCATGAGTTTTTTGCCCACGCAGAAGCACGCACGCGAAAGGGTTTTAAGCAAACATCTGTTTTTTTTAGCGCCACTCAGATGGGGAGGATGGGGAGGGAGAGAGAGAGAGAGAGAGAAGGAGAGGGAGAGAGAGAGAGAGAGGCCCCTTCAGCACGGCCCCCGCGGCGGCCCGGGCGGGGAGTGGCGTGGTGACCTGCCCGTCTGGTCGCAATACCCCTCCGCTACCCCACCGCCTAGATGAGGCTCCGCCCCTTCCCCGTCTGTGATCTTGCTTCCATTCCCCTGTCGGAACTGGCGACTCGGCGCCGGTGCTCGCTGAGGATCGGGCAGTTCGGGCTGGCTGGGCCGTTTGGGCCTGGGCCGGCGCGACGAGCGGGGCCATCTGGGACACAAAGGCCCTCAGGTTCGCGTCGAGGCTGGTCTGCTTCACTTGCACCAGGGAGATCCCTTTGTTAAGCTGATTACATTGCTGCGCCATGGTGTTCCTGCTAGTGACCACGCTTGTCACTGTAGCTTCAAGGCGTCTGACCGCGTCGGCCAGCTGCTGCCGTTCCGCTTCCAGGCCCGCAGGCCTCGCGTCTGTTTGGCCTGAGATTCCTGACTTTTGGCGTCTGGAGCCACTCTGCCTGGGAGTCTCCGTCGTAGCGAGGTGGTTCGGATCGACCTCTGGGCGACGCTGGCGGGGTGCTGGTGCCCTCGTTCATCGCGCGTTCCTTGGGCACGTCGCAATCCTCGTCGGCGCGCAGCCCGCGGCGCCTGGCCTGGGCTGGTCTGCGGCTCACAAATTGTAGGTTCCATGGACTGTCTGGCTGCGCTACTAGACAGAAGGCTTGTCCCATTTAGCGCCGTTGCCTCGCTGTTTCTTTGCAGGCGGCGGGGCGTTCGGAGGGCCTGCCGCTTCCTGGCGGTTCGGCGGCGGCGTGAATGGGGCGTGCAGGAAACGCCCAGTTGTAGCCCTGTCATGGATCGACGGCGAGGCGCGGGCGCCTGCACCCCCTGACGGCGACTCCGCCCATCTGACATTATGGTCTCTGGTGAGACGACAGTTTCGGTCGGCCATTGTTGGGGATTGCTCTTCGCGGGGGGCTCGATCTTGACGATGGCCCGTGGGGTAGACGATCCTTGGACGTGAACAGTGGTGCGAGGTCGCGGCGCGGCAGCTTTGACGATAGCTAAACCACCCCAAGCGGTTTTGCCCCACCCTGCGCGTTGCACATCGCAGTGCCAGTTGATGGAAGTGATGACATTGGCGAGTTGCTCTCGTTACCCACGACGCGGCACTTGACGGTGGCCAATGCGGCATCGGTACCTCCGAGTTCGAGCGCGACCTGTCTGGCCTCCCCAATCTCAGGTTTGACAAGGATGCCCAGTCGGATTGACCGCACGGATGGCGCCGTAGGCACTGTGCCTTTGGGAAGTCGCGCGCTTCCTGAAGCGCATGATGGTGGCCGTATGGGTACCACACCGCGATGTAATCACTGCGCAGCAGTCCATGTGCACCGTGAAGCTGACATCGAACTAGACGCCCCCCCTGTCCCGACATGAAACGCACCAGAGGCACGTCAGCCGGCTTAATGCCAAAGGGGGCCGCCAGCCTGCATTGACCCGCGCTCGTTCCGAGTCGTCCCAGGAGATTCATGGGCTCTTGGAGATCGACGACGGTGCGGAAGTGGGAGGTGAAGATGGCCGTGAAGGCGTATGTGAGGTCATCGTCAAAATATTGCCTCCCGTTGTCGCGCTTGGCTGACTTGTGGCGCGCCTTGGCCTGTCGTTGGGCCGTGAATGTGCCGCCTGGCATGCGGTTTCCGCTGATGGGGGCGACACCTGAGAACCGGGCGGTGGATAGGTCCTCCAGTGCTGGCGACAGCAATGGCGTCGGCCTCGCAGATGGTGCCGCGGACGCAGCTGATGCCGTCGGCGGGGTCGAGGGGGACCTGTACCACGCTTTGGAGCAGTTGACCACCATGCGGCCCAGTTGATTGATGGTCTCGTTTATGTGTCCTGGCGTGGGCTTGGTAGCCATGGCCGTCCGTCGGAGGACGGCCACGAGGGCCTCCTCTTCTGGGCAAGCGGAATTGATCACTCCCAGGGCTGCTAGTGCAAAAGTTTGTTCTGCCGACGGATTTGTTGCAGGACATGGTTACCCTCTTCGAGCGAATGGAGCGGGATACTGCTGGTATATGATGCCCAGTCCTCCGTCCTTCCAGGGGCGAGTGCAACGGGGACGTCCCCGTTCAGTACACCCAGGCTGATGAATGGAGCCGCGTCGTTACCCTGGTGGGCGTCGGCGGAAGCCACGGACCCTGGTGAGTCGCGGCTGAAGCCCGTCCTGTGCATGAGGGAGTAGCACAGCATGGTGTAGCTCATTTTGTTGTGCTTCGCACTGCCTCATCCGTTCGCCCCCATGCTTCAGCTGGTCGGAGCGGTGCTGACTGCAGATGTTGTTAAGACCGTCTTGGCGATTGCGAGCAAGGTCGCTGTAAGCAGCGACTGCTCGGTCGACGCCACCGCTGCTCGGGAGTGCGGCGAAACTGGCTTCCTTTCGACCGAGGTTGGTCTCCTGTCGATCCGTTAAGGTAGCCTTTGGTGGGCAGCCCTTGCCTGGTGGTTTGGGCTGCGGTGGTGCAGAGGACGCACGGCGTGGGCCTTTCGGAGCAGCGGCGCGCGCGCGGAACGAGGGGGATGTAACACACACACACACACACACAAACACATCGGTCTCGTATGACTGATACAGTTACAGCCTGACCAGGCTGGAGGGCGCGGAATTTACATGCAATGGCTACGCTCTGGGCACACAGCGTTCTCGAGCCGAGGCAGGAGAGGGGGAGAGAGGAGGTGAGAGAGGGGAGGAGGGGTAGGAGGAGGAGAGGGAGAAGGGGAAGGAGGGGAGAGGGATAGGGAGGAGTGGAGAGGGGAGAGGAGGGGAGAGCGGAGAGGAGGGGGGAGGAGGGGAGAAGGAGAGGGGGCCTTGAACTGCCTCGCTCCGGGTGCCAGCTCCGCGAGGCGCCGCGGCTGCCCGAGAGGGTTCAGCGCGGCCGCGTCCGCCATGTGCCCCAGGGGGGGCGCCGTGCCGCGGCTCGTGCCGATGGCGGGATCAATCGGCGCCAGGGATAGGGGGAGTATGACAAGGAGGGGGGGTACCACCAGAGAGGAAGAAGGTGGGGGGGGGGAGGAGGACCGCGACGGGAAGGGGCCTCCCCTTCCCCCTCCTCCTCCTCCTCCTCCTCCTCCTCCTCCTCCTCCTCCTCCTCCTCCTCCTCCTCCTCCCTCCTCCTCCCCCTCCGCCTCCTCCTCCTCCTCCGTCCTCCGTCTCCGCCTCCGCCCGCCTCGCCTCCGCCTCCTCCTCTCCTCCTCCTCCTCCTCCTCCTCCTCCTCCTCCTCCTCCTCCTCCTCCTCCTCTTCCCCCTCCTCCTCCTCCTTCTCCTCCTCCTCCTCCTCCGCCATCACCACCATCACCACCACCACCGCTCATTACCATTACCATCACCGTGACCGTCACCATCACCATGACCATCACCATCACTATCACCATCACCATCACCGTCACCATCATCATCATCATCATCATCATCATCATCATCATCATCATCATCATCATCATCAGCAGCATCAGCAGCATCACCATGACCTCTACCATTACCATCATCACCATCACCATCACCATCACCATCACCATCACCATCACCATCATCATCATCATCATCATCATCATCATCATCATCATCATCATCATCAGCATCATCATCATCATCATCATCATCATCATCATCATCATCATCATCATCATCATCATCATCATCATCATCATCATGATCGTCGTCGTCCTCATCATCATCATCATCATCATCATCATCATCATCATCATCATCGTAATCATAATCATAATCATCATCATCATCATCATCAGCAGCAGCAGCATCATCATCATCATCGGCAGCAGCAGCAACTGCATCCCCCTCCTTTTCCTCCACAAATTCTGCTGCTCCTGTTCCGTGTCCCTCGTCCTCACTCTTTGTCCTTATCCTCCCGTTCCCCTCCTCCCTCATCCTTCCTCATTATCATGCCCCTCATCATCATCATCATCATCATCATCATCATCATCATCAACGGCATCATCGTTATCATCATCACCACCGCCATCACCATCACCAACATCATCGTCATCATCATCACCATACGTACCAATATCATCATCGTCGTCATCATCCTTCCGTGATCATCATAATCATCATCATCATCATCATCACCATCACCACCATCGTCATCTTCATCCTCACCACCATCGTGATCATCATCACCACCACCACCACCAAAACCGTCACCACCACCATCACCATCACCACCAACATCACCACCACCACCATCACCACAATCATCACCACCACCACCGCCGTCACCGCCACCATCACCACCACCATCACCACCACCACCACTACCACCATCACCATCACCATCGCCACCACCATATCATCACCATCACCATGACTATCAACATCGTACCCTCCGCATACTGCGGAGCGCGGGGGCCCGCCGCTGCTTTCTGCCGCGGGCGCGCCCTGCGCGCCGCCACCCCCCTGCCTTCGTCGGCTAGCGCGGCAGCCGTGGCGGCAGCTGCGCGCGAGGAGCGAGCGGAGGAGGAGGAGGACCAGGACGAGGAGGAGGAGGAGGATGAGGAGGGGGAGGACGAGGAGGAGGAAGGGAGGGAGGAATAGAAGGAGGTGATTACTACGCCGTTCGGTCGTTCGCTGTTCTTCCTTTACAGATTGGCTTTCTTTGAGGTCTAGTACGTGTGCTGCCGGATCCGGAATCGGTGGGGCGCGTGGCCTCCCAAGGCCTTCCGTGACCTCCCGTGGCATCAAGGTCGTTGCTGGATCCAGCGTCGGAGGGGCGTTGTGGCCTCCCGTGGCATCCCGTTAGTATGCGTATTCGTGATTGCATTCGCAGTCGCATCCGTATTCATATCAGTTTTGAATTGAGTTTTGTTTCGATTGTATGCATCAGCATGTGCATTAGCAGTAGCTCTCGCGTTCGCAGTCACATTTGCAGTCGCATTCGCATCCGTTGTCGTGCGAGTATGAGTCTGAATGTGAGTGCTCGCACTAGCATCCGCATTGGCATTCGTATTAATATTAGTCGTAGTATTAGTCTCTATAACAGTATCAGGATTAGCATCAGCATCAGCACCAGTATGGCATCAATATTCGTATCAGAATTGGCATTCCTACTAGCATTAATAATCGGACGGGCCAAGATGTGGACTGCTGGGCCCCTACGGAAAGCTGATAACGATCTTTGGACGCGCGGGTGCTAGTCTTCGGCACAGGCCAGGATGAGGGTCATCGAGGGCATCGGAGCATCGCTCAGCGGTGTCCGCAGCTCGAGGCTCGAAGGAGGACAGGGCGCTATGAACGCCTATGGCCAGCTCCCGAAGCTCATGCATCCCCCATGGTTTCTCAGGGACCTCGAGCAGGAAGGATGGCATCCCCCCCTTGGCCGTGCGCACAAGATGGTTTGGGGAGGGGCTCCTCCTCCGCCTCCTCCTACCCTCCTCCTCCTCCTTCTCCTCCTCCTCCGCCTCATCCTCCTCCTCCGCCTCCTCCTCCTCCTCCTCTGCCTCCTCCTCCGCCGCCCCTCCTCCTCCTCCTCCTCCTCCCCTCCTCCTCCTCCTCCTCCTCCTCCTCCTCCTCCTCCTCCTCCTCCTTCTGCTCCGCCTCCTCCTCCTCCTCCTCCTCCTCCTCCGCCTCCTCCTCCTCATCCTCCTCCTCCGTGCGCCAAGCAGGGTGGGGGGGGGCAAGTGGAAGGTCGCCCCTTCAAGCAAGGCCATTCGGTGGGCGCGCCCGGGTGAGGAATCGAGCAGTGCAGGTTCGCCCAGGGTTGCTCAGACCAGAGCGCGGGCCGGGGAGACTGCGTGTGGTTTCTCCTCCCCGGGAGGGTCGCGGAGCGCAGCGGCCGCAAACCGTCGACCCGCAGGGGGGGGACGGCTCGTTGTGCATGTGCGCACGAGTGGAGATGGTGATCTTGGTGATGGCTCCTCTTCTCAAGGACCCCTAACTTCGCGCTTCGTGCTGCGCGAAGCGCGAAGAACGAGTAATCTCGCGCTCTCTCGCGCCGCCCCCAAGACATGAAAAGCAGGACGAGGAGGAATCGGAGCCGAACCGCGAAGCGCGAAGCTCGAATAACTTCGCGCCCTCGAGGGCGCCCTGGTCTTCTGCAGCCGAAGCGCGTCCTGCCCGACGAGGCCCGAGCCAACCTCTACTCCCTCGGAGGGAGAGCGGATGGCAGGGGCCCAGAGGGGTGGGGGGAGCCTGCGTCGGCGATGCCTCGTCGATGGCGGGGTGGGAAATCAGGCCCCACATCGGCAATGAGTGGGCGATTCTGGGCCGACAGCCTGAGCCAGTCCCTCCACGTCGCTGCCCTCGAGCTGCACGCAGCGAAGAGGGACAAGGTGTGCGTTCTATCCGCTCGCCCGGCGTCTGCTCGAACACGGATACGGTGAGGAGAGAAGGAGAAGAGGGTGAGACATCGGCACGGGCGGAGCCTGCATGGCCGAGCTATGTACAGCACGCTCCGCTCACCTACAGAGCAGACAGCACAGCATTACTCATGCGCCGTGCCGCTCAGGCGCCAGCACCTCACCGCCACCGCGGACTGAGGCCGCTCCGCCTCTGCTCCCCCACGATCGCGGACTGGTCGAACCGCCTGGGATCGATCGCACCGAAGTCCAACGGGGGGGGGCTCGCCCAGGGAGGAGGGGAAGGATGTGTTCCAAATCCGCTCAGAGTCAATCCACAGGCCGCTCTCGGGGTCCATTCTGACCAGCTTTTCGAGCCGCACATGGCCGTAGCGACGAGAAGCGTCCAGGGACGCCCGAAAACCTCCGAAACGAAGTCATCGTCGTCGTCGTCGTCGTCGCCGGTCGTCGTCCGTGAAGGCGTCAAAGACAGGTCCTCGCTGACTCGCGCCCCAGTCGCCTGAACCGGGAGGGAGGATGTTGGCGACGGCGACAGGCGCGGGTAATCGCCCCCTGAGGCCCGCACAGCAAAGATGGAGGAGGGAGGGCAGAGGAGGGGGGGGAACGGAAGCAGGGCGCAGGTACACGGTGCGGGCGCAGGGAGCATATGCAGGGATCGGGCGCAATGTACAGGCGCAGAGAACAAGGGCCAGGAGCACGATAATTAGCAACAGCAGCCCGTGGTAGCTTGGGCGGCGGCATTGGGGTAGAGGGAGGGCATCCATCGGCAGCAACGACAGCAGGAAGAGGATAAGGAGGAGCAGGGAGACGGAGCGATTGCTGGAGGGAGGGAGAGGGGGGACTGACAGGAAGGGAGGGAGGGGCGAGAGGCAAACAGGGGGAAGGAGGAAGGCCACGGCGGTGTTTGGAAGTAGCATAAGCGAGATAGAAGCAGGAACAGGGGACAGCGAAACACGGTGAATGAATCGTCGGGTCCGTCCCGAACGACGCTGCGTCAAGGAAGCCGGGTGGTCTAGCAGTAGGCCGCCAGCCGTCAGTCGCATCGGGACATAACATTGCAGTGGGCCAAGAGCTGGAGGAGAAGGAGAACGAGAAGCAAGGCGAGGGGGACGGACAATTGCGGTAAGAAGTTTCCCTATTCTGAGCAGGTCGCTGTCCGCGTCGCCGCGGGCGGTGCCCAACACCGGCTGTCGGAAGTGGACAACATCTCCTGTTGTGCCTTGTACACATTGATGCCGTACCCTTTCCTTGCAATCCGACGTGGCGAATATAATGCAACATCGTGACAACTTGTATTGCGCTACGGTACTCCAGGCCGCCATCGCTGCAATCCTGGCTTCACGTAGAAATGACCGTTGCAACGCTGCGGCCCAGACGGGCCGTACAGCTTGCTCTACGCGCCGCCACGCTGCTCCTGGGCAGGCTAAGCTGCCCGGCGAAGCAAGCAGGCAGACGACGGCGAACGCGCAAATGGGAGGCCGGGGCTACCGGGGCGGACAGGCAGGCGGAAGGCGGGCCGGGCGGCGACAGCAGGCAAGGAACAGGAGGAAAGGGGGGGAGGCAAGGAAGAGGAGCAGAGGGGAAGCAGCCGCAAGCAGACAAGGCAGGGAGCAAAAGGAAAGACAGCGGGAAAGGGAGAAAGACGAGGCGGAGGAAAGGGGAAGCAACCGCACGCACACACGCTGGGCAAGAGGCCTGGAGAAGAGCTACCCGCGACGAGGCCACGTACCCACGGCGGAAACCAGGGCAGGGTGGCCGACCGAGCCCAGCACGCTGCGGCTTGGGAGGAAGGCCCCCTGCAGGATCACTCACCGCCTAGAAAGGACCGGACGGCGCGTGCGAAGGGTCGCCAACGCGACGACGGCGAAAGGGCGCGGGAGGCGCCCGCGCTGCCCGGCAGAGATGGGGAGGGGGGGAAGGGCGGGGGGCGCTAGGCAGCGTCAGGGAAACCTCATACATCACACGGCGCCCGCCGTGGAGGCAGCTGCGGCCGCGGACAGGCGGGTCGTTCCCACACCCGCCCCATACAGACTGCGTCTGGAAGCGCCGCAGCACCGCCCGCGCGTTCTCTTTGCGCAGGGAAACGGAAAGTTGCCACGCGCGTTGGCCCGCAACAAATATGCTGCGGTGTCTTCCCCCGTGGCGTCAGCCACCCGCGTGGCTGGGACCCCGAGACCTGCGCGCCTCGCGGCCCCACCCGCCGCGTGGGCTTCCACCACCATGGGGGGGAAGGCGAAGCCCTGCGCCACGCGAGTCCGCGCGATGTCTTGGCGCCGCCGACGAAGCGGCCGACGCGGCGAGGATATCGGCGCGCAGCCCTCAAGCAGAAGCAGGGCCCCTCGCGGCCACCGTACCGTTGCGCCACCGCGGCAGGTACACGTCGGCATGGCGGCGGCCGTTGTCGCCCACCAGGGAGCCGCCCTGCTCGCCCTGAGGGGCGGCCTCCCCGGCGGGGCGCGGGGGTGGCAGCCCCGGGCGCCCCAACTCCGCACCGGCGTCGCTGGAGGCCAGGGCCTCGAAGAAGGCCTGGTTGCGTTGGGCGCTGCGGCGTTTGGTCCAATCGCCACGGCAGGCGCAGACCAGGGCGCGCTCGCAGAAGACGCCCATCACCTCGCCACAGGCTTGGCAAAAGCACTCCTCCTGCAGGGGCCGGAACCGCCGCCGCCTCTGCAGGCCAAGCCGCATGAGGCCGCGCGAGATCGCGGCGCCAATGGTCTCGCAGAGTGGCGCCTGGAGCCACGCGACAGCACCCCAGGCCTGCACCAGGGAGAGGCGTGCCCTGCTGGCCAGAATAACGCCCGTCAGAAGCCATTCGAGAGCGGCACTGCCCACCGCGTCGGGGAGGGCCTTCTGGTCGCCGCGTTGCGCGTGGTCGAACACCACTCAGCCAGCGTCCCGCGCGATTGCGTTGTGGGCCTGAACCGCCGCCGCCAGGCTACCCCCGTCGCGGTCAGCGCTGTTTGAATAGCCAGGGAAGAGCTGTCGACAACTTCCAGGCGGCGGCGGCAGTCGTGAAGGGGCCCCAGGACACACAATAAATACACACAAATAAAAAGATTCCCCATGTTTTCCCATATTTTCTGGGTTTGTGTCTCCCCCCCCACTTCCCATATTTTCCAACATTTTCCTGGGAATCGACGATTAATTGTGTCTGTGTGTTTTTTCCTCTCCTGAAGTCGGTCGCGCGGGGCGTCAGCAACCTCGCAGCAGAGGCAATTGCCGACGAGGCGCCAGAACTCCTCCCGACGGCGACTAGGCGCAAGCCTTCGTCCTTCCTCGGCAGGACCACTAGAGGCGCATGCGAAGTACTCGGACACGGCCGGCGGGGCCTGCCCCCAGGCGCGCAAGTTAACAAGGTCCCAGAGCTGGTCGGCGATCTCGCCTTGGTGGGCCGCATGGAGCAGCGCGCCTTTCGGGCAACGGGGGCGGAGGCCCTTTGACCTGGCAGCCGAACCCCGGGGAAGGCCCGCACTTCCCTCTGGACAGCGTCCCCGCCCACCTGAAGGGCAACAGCCGCGTGGACTGCCAAGAGACTGGCGGCGTCCACACTTCGGCGGCTGCGCGGGTGTTCCCGGTGCATATGTTCGACGACGTCGGGGGTGACCTCCACGGGCGGCTCGCTGGTAAGAGTCGAACAGCCCTTAGCCCTTGGAGCACTGGGCGTCCACGGAGAGCTGCACGCAAATCCCTGCTCGTTGGGAGGCTCGCGGGGCGGGTTTGGCAGCGCGACACTCGACGGCTTCGGCCCACAGGGAGGCCTGCCGCTCTCCTCCTCCTCCTCCTCCTCCTCCTCCTCCTCCTCTCCTCCTCCTCCTCCTCCTCCTCCTGCTCATCCTCCTCCTCCTCCTCCTCCTCCTCCTCCTCCTCCTCCTCCTCCTCCTCCATTTCCCCCTCTTGGGGTATGACGGCCTCCTTAGCCTTTTATTCCACTGCATTATCCCGCATTTCCCTGATCAGGGCAACTCGCCCGGGCTTCGGTTTGGACTGGGCTGGTCACGCGAAGCGTGCAGAAGTTCTCATCTGCCGACTAGGGTATCCTAGAGCACCTGGACTGCAGGCTGTGACCTATCGTTTGCTGCACCATGGAAAAGGGAGGGCTCCAGGGCTTTGTACAGGGGGGGGACGAGCAACAGCAGGAAGCGGATGAGCAGGAGGCAAAGGAGGATGAAAAGGAGGATCGGGAGGAAGAGCTGAAGGAGCAAGGGCGGGACAAGGAGGAGTAACAGGAACGGGAGAATCTGGGCAAGGCGGAGGCAAAAAGAGGAGGGAGTCTGAAGGACGGAAGCAAAGCCCGAAATGTGGTCCTACCTCCACAACCTCCGAATCATCCGGGCCAGAAGTCCAGCCTGTGGCGACCGTCCAGGACCATTCCGGCACCCTTGGAACGCTATCGGCGATGCGCAGCTGCTGAAGAGCATCCCGAAGCGAGAAAACCTCCAAGAACGGGCGAAAGCCCCCGATAAACTCCGAACGCTTCCGCAACAAGGGAGGGAAGGGGGGAGGGGGAGGCAGCACTTCCGACCGGCAGTCGAGGACAAGCGGAAAGGAGTCTCACGGGGGGCAGACACGGAGCCGGAGTCGGCGATGCATCGCCGATAGATCGGCGAGAAGCCCCCGATGGCGGATCCGCGCGTCCTTTGCTGGGGGGGCGCCAGCGGGCCCCAATCGCGATGAATGGGAGATTGGAGGTCGATGTTTACCCCCTACTTAAGGCTTCGTGAGAGTTCGGGGGGTACCCCCCCGACGGGGGCCAACCTCGCCTCGTCGTCGCGCTGCGACGGGGGTCTGAGCGCCTTCGGCGCGCGGTGGCTGTCCGCGACGGGGGTCGATGTGGGGCTGTCGGCGGGGGTGACGCCAACCCGACGCTTATTAAGAAACTCGAAGTAAGCCTGTCGACGTCATGGAAGTCCCACCACCCCTTTGGGCGACAGGTGGTCTAAGGAGGGTCCCTTTCCTCTTCAGCAGCCCCTCTTCCCTTCGGAGAGGAGGACCCTCCCCCTCCCTGCCCCAAGGTTTTCTTGGGAGGGGGACCGACGTGTCAGATGGTCCTTTTCCAGCCCCTGGGCGGATCAATGTTTGACACCCCATCACGGAGATCGTGGCCTCCGAGGTAGGAAGGAAATCTAGGACACCCCTCTTTTGACCGACCGCCTCCAAGATGGCCCCACGAGGCGCTCCAAGGCTTTCAAGAGGTCCCCAACAGGGCTCCAAGAGCGTCCCAAGAGGCCCCAAGAGGGCTCCTAGAGGCACCCGAGAGGCACCCAAGAGGCCACCGAGTGGCCTCACAGAGCCTAAGATGACGTCCAGGATGGCTCAGATAGCCCAAGCTGGCTCAAGATGGCTCCCAAGATGCTACAAGCGGCCCCAAGATCGCTCCAAGACGGCCCGAAATGCCCACGGAGCCTCTCAAGCCTCCCTCGCTATTTGACTCTGCGTGTCTCTTCCTCTCCCCATGTCAACTCTCATGGGCATATTTCCTAGATAGGCTGGTGGGAGCACGCGAAGCGTCAAGAATTTATACACAAACACCCGCCGACGAGTTTGCTCTGTTCCTTCAAGCAAGGGGGGGGGGGGGCCGTGCATAAAATCGTAGCCTTTTGGTGGTGACGCATACACTGCCATCCTCCCAGTCAGACCCAGAAACTATCTACTGGAGGGTGTCTGTGTCTACCTTTGTTTGGCGAACTGGCCCCCCCGACGCTGTCCCTGAGAAAGAGGCAGCGCGCCTGACGACACCGCCGCCACCAATGACTACTCGACGTCGATGGCCCCCACCTCCGCGGGGCCAGGGGCAAGAGGGGCAGCGCTGGTGCAGACGTCGGGGGAAAGGGAAACATCAACGGCACGCCGCCGTCGGGGGCCCGGCCGTGTGTCACAGGTGGCATTCGGAAAACAGGAAAACACTCCGGTGGAGAGACCCCGTACAATAACCCCCCCAAAACGAATCTGGAAGCACGTCTCATCGTAGTCTTTGTGCATGGGTGCACAGGCTCTTTCCCGCTTCCTCACCGTCCTTTTTTCCTTTTTTCGCGTCGGCGGATTCCCTCTTCTTCCCCTGCAGTGCTTCTTTTTCCTCCTCGTCCTCTTCCACCTTTTCCCCCATACACCTCCTCCCCCCCTTCAAGTACGGCACGCGAGGCGTTTTCCGATGGCCAGATCGCGAAGCCGCTGGGGCAACCACGTGGGCCAGGCTGATGGGGCAACCCCACGATCCGCTGGGGCGTAGGGAGCAAGCCGCTGAGACAACCCCGCTGGTCTCGAACGAGTCGCGGCCGCGCCCAGGCGGGAAGCAGCGCGAAGCCCAGCTCTGCCGCGAGCCGTTCCCGCCTGATATTTCATGGCAAGTCATTCACAAACAAAGTTCCCATCCGAGACCTCCGCCACATTCAAGCCCGCTCGGATTGACACATTGATCTCGGGGCCCCATATGGAGGTGGGGTCCGCCCGAACCGTCCTCGCGATTAGCTCACAGCCGAGGCTCCCGCTCGAGACTTCCGCCATATTCAGGACTGAGGAGACCCAAGGTGACCACGGGCAAAAGTTCCCGATGACCCACTCGGATTGGTAACAAGATCTGCGGGCCCCATACGGAAGGGGTTCCCGCCTGAGACTCCTTCACAATTCACTCACAGCCGAAGCTCCCGCTCTAGACTTCCGCCATATTAAACACCGAAAACCCCAAAAGTGACGGCCATCAATGGGTTCAGATGACCAGCTCGGATTAATATCATGATCTGCGGGCCCCATATGGAGGGTGGGCCGGGTGAGCCTTCCTCGCAAATCCGTCACAGACGAAGCTCCCGCCCGAGACTTCCGCCATATTCAAAAACACGGAACCCAGTAGTAACGAATGTCCGAAGATCCCAATAACCCGTTCGGGTCAATAATAATATTCACGGGACCCGTAGGGAGGGGTCCCGCCTGAGACTTCCTCGCCATTCTCTCACAAACACGGCTCCCGCCGGAAACACCCTGCGATGAATGCATGTGTGCGCGATGATGATGGCGACGATGATGATGATGATGATGATGATGATGATAATGATGATGATGATGATGATGATGATGATGATGATGAGGATGACGATGATGATGCTGGTGATGGCACTGTAAAAGGATGATGATGGCATGACAAAAGCTGGTGATGGTGCGGTGATGGCGGGTGTGAAGACTTGGTGGTTTTCGTGATTGCACTGATGATGATGGTGCGATGTTGATGACGATGATAGTGGTTGTGCGGAGGTGTGCGCATGCGAATGTGGAAACATGGTGAGGATGGGATGGGGTGCGAGATGATGCGTGCAAGGGCTGCCCGGGGGGGCGCAGAGAAAATCACTCCGACAGTAGGACCCCGCCTGAGAACCCCCAGAGCGCATCCGCAAGTAAGGCTCATCGTCGTCCTCGTGAGTGCGGCGGACCTCGTCTCATCATCGCCCTGTTCCCCTTGGCGGATCCCTGTTCCCGCCCCCTGCTCTGCCTCCTCCTCATATTCCTCCCTCTTCTCCCCCATCCACATCCCCCCCCCGCCCGCCCTCCAGCAAGGGCACGCGAGTCGATGTTCCTTGGCGCCGCTGCCGCTACGGCTGGCACGGGCGCGTTTTCCGATGGCCAGATCGCGAAGCCGCTGGGGCCACCACGTGGGCCAGGCCGTTGGAACAACTACACGAACCGTTGGGGCGCGAGAGCAAGCCGCTGGGACAACCCCGCAGGTCTCGAACTAGTCGTGACCGCGCCCAGGCAGGAGGCAGCGCGAAGCCCAGCTCTGCCGCGAGCTGCTCCACCTCAGTCCTGGAGTTCCCACCTCTCTTGTCGACATTCCAGAAACTCTCGCGTGGGCGGCCGCAAGATCAGCACGTTCCGCCTGATACGTCCTCTCAGTTTACTCACAGACGAGGTTCCCCCGCTGGAGAATTCTTCCATCGTCAACCTTCGAGAGGTCACAAGTAACGACAGTCAGAGGGTTCCGATGGCCCGCTCGGATTGGTAATATGATCTGCGGGCCGCACAGGGAGGGGGCTTCCGCCTCAGACTTCCTCGCAATTCACTCACAGACGAGGCTTCCGCCCGAGACTTCCGCCAGATTCAGGACTCAAAGACCCAAAAACAACAATAGTTAACAGGTTCCGATTGCCCGCTCGGATGGGTAACCTGATCCGCGGGCCCCATAGGGAAGGGGCTCCCGCCTGAGACTTCCTCGCCATTCGATCACAGCCGAGGCTCCTGCTCGAGACTGTCCAACAGATTCAGGCTTCAAGAGGCCAAATGTGACGACTGATAAAAGTGTCTGAGGCCCCGCTCGAATAAATGACATGATCTGCGGGCCCCATAGGGAGGGGGTTCCCGCCGCACTCCCTCGCATTTCACTCAGAGACGAGGCTCCAGCTCGAGACTTCCGCCACATTCAAGACTCATGAGCTCAAAAATGACGGCAATGAAAAGATCAGGATCACCCGCTCGGAATTATAACATGGTCTGCGGCTGCTCCTGCGTGAGACTGCCTCGCAATTCACGCACAGACGTGGCTCCCACTCGAACAGTACGACATAGTGAAGCCTCCAGAGGTCACAACTGACGACAAGCATAGGGTTCCGATGACCCGCTCTGGTTAAGAACATGATCTGCGGGCCCCATAGGGAAGGGGCTCCCGTCTGAGACTTCCTCGCAAATCACTCACAGACGAGGCTCCCTCTCGAGACTTCCGCGCGCCATATACAAGACTGAGAAGCCAAAACCGAAGACAACTATAACATGAGCTGCGGGGCCCATGGGGGAGGGGGCTCCCGCCGACGACTTCCGCGCAGATCAATCACAGACGAGGTCCCGCCTAAGAATTCCTTAGATGTGTTAACGCGCGTGTGCGATGGCAATAACGATGAGAATAATATAAATAATCGTTATGAAAACTAAGAATGATAATGATACTAATAATGGCACTAATGATAGTTGTAAAAGTGATACTATTAATAATAAGAATACAAAAAGCAACGATACAAACTATACTAATAATCATGATGGTGAAGATGCTGGAAATGATGATGATGAAGATGATGATGATGATGATGATGATGATGATGATGATGATGATGATGATGATGATGATGGTGGTGACGATGGCGTGGATGCTGGCGCCGATGATGGTGATGATGATGATAATGATGGTGATTGTGATGATGGTACCGATAATGGTGGTGGTGATGACAACAACGACACCGACGACGAGGATGGTGATGACGGTGTTGATGATGGTGATGATGGTGATGGTGATGGTAATACTGGTGGTGATGGTGATGATGATGCTGTTGATGCTGAAGACGATGAGATGCTGATGATATTAATGATGGTGATGGTGGTGATGGTGGTAATGGTATTGCTGCTGATGACGATGATGATGATGATGATGACGATGATGATGAAGATGATGGCGATGATGATGACAATGGTAATGATGGTGATGGTGGTCATGATGATGATGACGCTGATGATGCTGATGATGGTGGTGATGGTGATGGAGATGCTGATGCTGATGGTAATGCTAATGATGATGATGGTGATGGTGATGGTGATGGTGATGATAGTGATGATGGTGATGGTGATGATGGTGATGATGGTGATGATGGTGATGATGGTGATGATGGTGATGATGGTGATAGTGGTGATGATGGTAAAGGTGGGGATGATGACGAGTATGTTGTTGATGATGATGATGATGGTGACGATGCTGATGGCGGTGATGATGATGATGGCGGTGGTGATGATAATGATATGACAGTGATGATAATAGTGGCGGAGAACGATGAGGGTGTGATGCTGGTGAGTGTGACAAGATGGGTTCCTGATGCTGATGATGATTATGATGATGACCGATGGTCATGATGGGATGATGGTAGTGATAATGATGGTGCAATGGTGATGACGATGATAGTGATGGTGAGTGTGAGTACATGTTAAAGAGGAACGGGGATGTGAGGTGAGGTGCGTGAGGACTGCGAGGGAGGGAGGTGTGCAGAGAAAACAAGAACCCCACTGTGGATGTGGGGAAAAAGAATCACATTTTCGTGGCAGAAGACCCTGAGCAGCTCAGTACTGTGCAGCACATACGGGAGACCAGACGGAAACCATACGGGAGACCAAAAGGGAAACCATACGGGGGACCATGCGGGAAACCATGCGGGGGCCATTCGAAGACCGTATGGGAGACCAGACGGGAGACACGGAGTAGTTCATAACATTTACTGCAGTGGTGCACTGTCGCTCCTCCTCCTCCTCCTCCTCCTCCTCCTCCTCCTCCTCCCCCATGGACGTCCCTCAACCTCCCTCCCCTTGCTGCAGAACCAGCACGCGGGAACTCTTCTTCGAATTGATCCTGGCCCAGAAGAAAAAAACGAATACTAACAACACTACGCATGCAATGGGAGGCCGCGGGAGCCCGGGAGGCCACGGGAGACCACGGGATGCCACGGGAGACCGCGGGAGGCTGAAGCGCCCGACCGACTCCAGATCTGGCGATCCCCGAACTCGGCCTTCTTAGAAGAAGGATACAGCACCCCTGCAGGCAAGCTGTTTGGGGGTTAGACGGGCTCCCCGTGGCGGCGTGTCACTGGTACTCGTCTATCCCTACCGGGTAAGCGGGAGGGGGAGGTGGAAGGGGAGGGGCGGAGAGGAGGGTATAAGCCCTGACCCCAGACCTCCTCGAATCGCGGGAAAAAACAACACGAGGGTTTCTGTTACCGTTTTCGGACTCTGGGGCCCGCACTGGGCCCTGGGACCGCCCAGAAACATCTTGAGGTGAAAGATCGGTCCCTGGAACAAGGCCCAGACATCTGGGGCGCCAACTTCGGGGAAGAGTCACGACATCGGATGCCTGGGAGGGGATCTGGGGCCGCGCATCAACACATCACGTGGTCGGATACCTGGGGACTCGGGCTGACCGCGCGACAGGCAGCGGGAGGGAGGCACCAGAGTGGTCCACGAGGCAGAGCACCGGCAGAGGCGCCGCAGACTGGAGCCCCGAGGGGGGCTGCGCGCGAGGCGGGCGGCCTTCCAGGAAGTCGTGGGGCTTCTGAGGAGGCGGCCGGCCTCTCAGAGGTCCACACGGCTTCTGAGGAGCCGCCCTCTTTCGAGGAGAAGAAAACACGAACTGTTGACGGTCCGCGCGGATTTCTTGGATATGAGCTGGACCCCCCTCCCTGGCGCGCGGAGCGCCCAGGGGCGGCGCCGGAGGCGCCGCCAAGGGGGTGCAGCGTGGATCCAGGCAATCCGCGCGGAGCGCCGAAAGTTTATGTTTATGCAGATGTTTCTTCCTCGACTCTCAGAAACCCTCTCGGCTTCTACGAAGCCTTCTTAGAAGCACCCAGCCCCTTCTAAGAAGGGCCCTGCATTCTAAGAAGCCCCCCGCCTTCTCAGAAGGGCGCCCCCTGCTTGCGCGACCCCAACCAACGAGGCAGAGCACAGGCAAAGGCACCACAGACTGGGGCCCCAAGGTCGTCAAGAACTTAACGACTCCTGCCGTCCCTCGACTGGCGCTGGAGCGGCCACGATTTGCTCAAACATTCCTTGGAGATCTTTTGGACTTACCTGGATTTACCAAGATTGACCTGGATCTACCTCGATGTATCGGCATGTACCTTCATTTATCTGGCCTAATCCCAACAATTAGTTTGGCGGAGAGTCGTCAAGCCCGTGGAGATCAGGAAAGCGCCAGGGACGTGCGTGCCTCGTTGTCGCTGGAGCTCTCGACGTCCTCCATGGAGGCGTCCTCGGCGTCCTCGGTGTCGACGAGGAAGTCGTTCTCCTACCCGCGAGGGGCGAGCGCAAGCGAGGGCGAGGAGAGGGAGAGAAAGTCACGGCAGAGAAGGCAGGCCTTGGGTTCTGGCATCGGAGGAGGGCTGGCCTAGACGACGGCTGCCCCCCCTGGCCCTTCGTGGGCCTCCTCCAGGCCTCCCGTCGCCACGGCAGAACTGGCCTCGACAAACGGATCCGCATGGCCCCCGGGAAAGGTCCCCGAGACCAACTCTGAGCGGACTCGGCCCGGGCGGGAGAGCCGCAGTCGTCTCAACTGGCCCTCCTCCGACACCAGTCACCCCCCCGTCCACCCGCCCCCGTCGGGCGTGTCCTCCACTGTCGAGTCGCCGCCATCGCCGGACTCGCTCTCCTGGCGGGCATCAAATTTGCACCAGCCCTGGAGGATCGTCTCCGAAGGCCAGCTGCCGACCGGCAGAAGGGCGCTCGCCCCCACGCCCGAAACCACTGCCATGCCGCCCTCCAGGCGGGGGGGTGCAGGAAGAGGAAGAGGACAACTCGCCCCCTCCGGCCCCCTCCGGCACCCAGGCGGAACCAAGACCGTCCACAGCGGCAGCACAATCGAAAACCGAAACCGACCGGAGCCGACGAGTACGAAAACGGCCCCGACGCGCTCCTCCAGGAACCATTTCCCACTACCCCCTCCCTCAGTACCCATTTCCCTCAGGGCCCACCCCGACCCACCCCCACCCATTCGACCCCTGGTGCAGCGCTCACCGGACGGCACCGCCAGTCCTCACAATCGCCGACGCACGACTCTCCAGGGAATCAACCTCTGATCGTGCCGTGCTGATCCTGAATCCTCATCCTCCCAAATCCGCCTGGGCATCCAGAGGATGTAGAAAGCACGCGACGAGAGGAAAGGCTGCAGAAGATGTGTCTCAGTGTCCCCACTCCCTGCTCTCGAATATTTAGTCTCGATTCAACTCTGTAACATATGGCACCATACCGTACGCACTCAGTTTGAGTGATCTCGAGTCCCTTCGAATTGGCTGCATTCAATGTCGCTGAAAACGTGTCCCGTGAGTTTTCCCGAGTCAAAATCACACACACACACACAAACAAACAAAACGTAAAAAAAATAATGCCAAACAACGACAGCAAAAGAAAGTTGAGGATTTCTTCTCCAGAGGGGGAAAAGAGAACGGCCCAGGAGCTCCTGTGCCACGATGGACACCGAGACCGCCTAAGGGCTCCCGAGAACCCCATGCCGTTGCCCCTGAATCGACCTTTTTCCTCCTCGGCCCCCCGCAGAGGAGCCGCACAGGGTCCTCCAGATGGCCAGCGACGCCGCCCAGGTCGGCCGCGATGCTGCACCGGCACAGCGGGCACGAACGGGCCGCGGGGAGCACCGCCATGGCACAGCCAGCGTGCAGGCGGTGGAGGCAGGGCAGCCGCCTCGGGAGGATACTTCTATTGTCGTGTGGCTTAAGCTGCGCGTTTCTGTACGATGGCATGCTATCTACGTCACCTAACCTCGCGCATCGCCCCCAGCGATGCGCGACACGCGATTCTCGTCGCGCCCTCGCGCCCCCGCGCTGCCCCGTTGGGGAAGGACAGCAACTCTGCGCGAAGCGCGATTCTCTTGGCACCCCCGCGAGTGACCCAACTTATCAGCCGCCTCTGGAGGACGAGGGGACGGGGAGGACGAAGGGGGCCTGTTTTCCTGGGGAGCCCTGGTGGCACAGACCCCGCCTCGCGTCGTTTAGGGATCACGAGGGGAGGTTTTCGTGACTACTTTCGGCCTCTGGGAGTCCTCGCTGGGCCCGGGGCCGTCGGAGAACGACTCGGGGTCAGATACTGGTCCCCAAGAAGGGGTCTAAACCTCTGGGGACCCACAATGTGAAAAACAAAAAACGAAAAAACTACGTCGGGGCCTGCGTGGAGGGGGAAGGGGGTCCCACAGGACCGTGACGGCCCAGAGGGCCTGCTCAGTCGATGGAGGTGCTGCAGCAACGAATCGAAAATCGGATCGAGTCGGAGTGTGCGTCGGATCGGGCTGCATCGGCACGAAGTCAAAGTCAAATCGGATCCGCTGCGCCAGGGTGCACTGCAGCGCCATGCAATCATCGGGCCGCATCTGATCGTCGGAATACAGGAATCGAATTGGATCGAGCTGGCTGGGATCGATATCGAATCGGACCGATCGCATAGAAATGTACCCTGGGAGGAGGTTGGCTGTTGTGTGCACTTGGTGTTGCACCATCCCAGGAGGAAACCGAGGCGGAGTACCCTCTCGGCACAGAGGGGCATTCTGCGTCAGATTGCTGAGAGGGCCCATTTTCATGCTGGACGCTTGTACTGAAGCGTCGTCGATCTTGCAAAACGGAAAGCCGCGGCAGCTTGTGACCACACTGCACGGGCTGACCAAAGAATGGCCAATAGAGGCCTCCCAAATGGAGTCCGAGCAGATATTGTCGGAGGATCGCACTGGGGGCCCTGGAGCCGCAGAGGGGGTCATTCTGGCAAGAGACTCCGCTGTCCTCCCTCATCCTCCTCCTCACAGCCTTCCTAGGCCGCAGCACCGCTAAACAGGCCGTAGCACCGCTCAACGATGTGCTCTGCACCGAATTTCGCAGGGCGAGCTCTTTTCCAAATCCGTGTTTCGGTGCGGATCGTTAGCGCACCTCATATCAGTCATTGTCGTCGTCGGCGTCGTAGTGGTCGTGTTGCGTGCTGCTCTGCTCGGAACCTGCTTCCCTTATGCAGTAACCCTTTTCCACCACCACAATCTTCCTGAAGCCTGATGGGATGGATCCTCGGTGACAAACGGTCTTAGATCTGAGCCACCTTTGGAGATGCTCGGCTCCTCCTCCGATCGAAATCACTGGAGCCTCCAAAGACAGAAGCCATGTCGGCTGGGAGCCAAGCGGGTGGGGACGCCGCCGATGAGGGTGATGGTACGGCCCACAGGCCACTGGTTTTCCCCGCCACGGGTCTGAGCTGCTTGTGCCCTGCATCTGGGTTGTCGGCCTCAAAGAGCATGCAGTCTGGTGCGCGCTTAGTTGCGATGGCCACCGCCAGAAACAGCTGGCAACCGACCAGGCCTGGCGGGCCTCCGATCTATACATACATACATACATACATACATACATACATGCATGCATGCGTGCGTGCGTGCGTGCGTGCATGCATGCATGCATGCATACATACATACATACATATATACACACATGCATATCCGAGCGAGGGGGGCGAACGGACATTCATTAACCCTGGGTGCGTGGCTGAAAAAATAAAGATTTCGTGGTGAATGTTTGTTGCGTTGTTGGTGTTGTTGATGTTGGTGTTGTTGTTGTGGTTGTTGTGGTTGTTGTGGTTGTTGGCTGTTGCTGTTGGTATTGTTGTTGTTGGTGGTGTTGTTGGTGTTGTTGTTGTTGGTGGTGGTGTCAGTGTGGTTGGTATTGTTGTTGATGGTTTTGATGTTGGTGTTGTTGCTGGTGTTGTTGCTGTTGTTGTTGGTGGTTTTTTATTAAAAAAGGAAAGAAGAAAAAAAAAAAAAAAAAAAAAAAAAAAAAAAAAAAAAAAAAAAAAAAAAAAAAAAAAAAAAAAAAAAAAAAAAAAAAAAAAAAAAAAAAAAAATGCTGAACCCCCCCACCAGTGCAGACTGTTTCTTCTCAATCAAAGTGTGCCCCTCGACACTCGCACCCTGTTATTGGACAGGGAAAGTCTTCCTGCTTAAACTGGGTCTGGACCCCCGTTCCTTGGATTTCCTCGCAATTTACTCAGGATCGGTGCTCCCGCCTGTGACTTCCTCGCAATTTAGTCAGGACCCCCGCTTCCATCTGAGACTTCCTCACAATTTACTCAGGAACGGCGCTCCCGCTTGAGACTTTCTCGCAATTCAATCAAGACCTCCTCGCAATTTAATCAAGACCCCCGCCCCCGCCAGAGAACCCCCCACATTTGATTCAGGAATTGCGCCTGAGACTTCCATGTAATTGATTCAGAAATCGCGCTTTCGACGCTTAGGAGACACGCTGCGCACAGGACGCCGCTACACTTTACTCAAAATTCGCGCTCTCGGCATACTCAGGCATACTCAGGCATCCCGCTTAAATGTCCCACCCGCCCAACCCGCCCGTCAGGGGATCGCCCGCCCGTCGTGGGTTCCCGCCCGAGACTTCCTTCGGGAACGGCGCGTTCGCCTAGGACTTCCTCGAACGTTCACGCTCTCACCGTTCCTGCTCCTCCTCCCTCTCCCGCCTCCTTCCTCCCTCCTCTCCTCCCTTCTCTCTCCCTCCTCTCGTGTCTCGTCCATATGCCTCTCTGCCCTATCCCCTTTCCCTCCTCTCCCTCCTCCCTTCTCCCTCCCCTCTCCTGCATCCCCCCCCCCTCTTTATTTCTCTCTCGCCTCTCTCTCTCTCTCTCTTTCTCTAACTCTCTCTCTCTCTCTCTCTCTCTCTCTCTCTCTCTCGCTCCCTGCCTCTAGTCAACCGCCCCCCTCGTCGCTCCTTCTCTCCTGGCGTTTTCCCTCTTCCTTCGTCCCTCCCCCTCACTTCCTCCCACTCTCCCTCGTTCTCCCCCGCCTCTTTTTGCAAGACCCACACCAATTCCAATGGCGGGCACATGTACGCCCACGAAGGATTGTCCGCCCGTTGAAGATTGCCCGCCTGTCTAAGCCCGCCACCCCCCGCAAAGAGAAAGAATCCCCCAAAAAAGGGGTGTGATCGAAGACAAAAAGCGGGTATCGATGGTGTGGGGAAGTCGTTTTGAATGACACACGGGCAAGTAAGAGCGAACAGTCTTTGAATGATTGATGTTGTTGGTGTTGGTGTTACTGCTGTCGTTGTTGGTGTTAGTGTTATTGCTGTTAGTGGTGGTGTAGTTGGTGTTGTTGTTAGTGTTGTTGTTGGTGTTGTTGACATTGTTGTTGGTGGTGGTGGTGGTGGTGCTGCTGGCGTTGGTGTTGTCGCTGCTGCTGCTGTTGGTGTTGGTGTTGTTGCTGTTGTTGTTGGTGGTGTTGCTGCTGTTGTTGTTGGTGGTGTTGTTGTTGCTGTTGTTGTTGGTGGTGATGTTGGTGGTGTTGGTGTTGTTGGTGTTGTTAGTGTTGTTGTTGATGTTGTTGTTAGTGCTGATGTTGTTAGTGTTGTTGTTGTTGTGGTTGTGGTTGTGGTTGCTGTTGTTATTCGTGCTGTTGTTGTTGGTGTTGTTGTTGCTTGTTGTCATCGTCCCACCCGCGACCCACCCGCGACCCAACCCGCGACACACCCCGCGACCCACCCCGCGACCCACCCCGCAACCCACCCAGCGACTCACCCGCGACCCACCCCGCGACCCATCCGCGACCCACTCCGCGACCCACCCGCGACCCACTCCGCGACCCACCCGCGACCCACCCCGCGACCCACCCCGCGACCCATCTGCGACCCATCCGCGACCCACCCGCGACCCCCCCGCGACCCACCCGCGACCCACCCCGCGACCCACCCGCGACCCACCCCGCGACCCACCCTGAAGGGAGGAGAAACCACCCGGACCCGACAATTGACGTTTCCTAAACGGCCCTGGGCGTTTACCATACAGCCCTGCCCTGCTCGATTCATTCCTTGTGTGCGTTTACTGAACTGCTTCGCGTGTCGGGGTGAATATTACGGGATGGATTCTCTGCCCTGTACACCCGCGACC